AAACTGAAAGATAAATTTGTCAAAGGCAAATGACATGCATCATTTACCGTCCAATCCCCACAAGGAGTTTAATGACAGTCTTTGAATGCATTCACTTATTAACTAATAAGTAATGCACCAACATTTTAAATTGATCAAAATATTTTCCTTGCAATTTGAAACATTAGTGTTGGCTAAGTTTTTAATTTTATAACCTCCTTGCTGATGAACCTCATCTTTCAATATACAGAAAACAAAGAAAGCAATTGTCAAACACAATGACATACTTGGTATCGTTCAATCCTCAAAAGGACATTTTTTTTTTTTTTTGGATACATAGGAAAGAAAGGACATTTTAATAGCTTTTGGATGGATTCACTTCCCAAATTAAAAATACCTTACCGTCACTATTAATTCATCATCAATGCACAAACATTTCTTATATTTGAAAATATTTTATTTACAATTTGAACATTGGTTGACTAAATTTTCAATATTCTTAACTTTGTGCACATGGACCTCATGATCTATCAATTTATAAAAATAAAAGAAAGAAAGGTAAATGGCAATGGCACAGATGATTTACCATCAAATTTCGGAGGATTTTAATAAAAGTCTTTGGATACATTTTACTTTCCAAATTAAGGGGTTTGATGTTTGTCATTTTAAATGACATAAGTTATGTCATTTTAAAAGAGAGATAGACACAAAAAATAAAAATCATGAGAGAGAAAGTGGGTAGTTTTTTTTTAATTTAAATTTTAATTAAAAAATTTATTTTGTATCTATCTCTCTGTTAAAATAACATAACTTTATGTCATTTAAAATGACAAATATTTTTCCCATAAATACCTCAATTAAATATGCATGTTCGAAAATTCATAATTTAAAAATTTACAACATATTTTATTTACAAATTAAAACATTGGTTGACTAGCTTTTTAATTTTCTTGACTGTGTGTACGTGGATATCATCTATCACCATATAAAAGGCAAGGAAAAAAAGGTCAAAGACAATGACACACAAGATTTACCATCGGATTACAGGAGAACTTTAATTCTTTGGATGCATTCACTTTCAAAAACGCACCTCAATTAAATATGCATTTTTGAAAAAAATAAATTCATAATTTATGAAAATATTTTATTTACAATTTGAAACATTGATTGACTAAAATTTTAATTTTATCACATGGACATCATGTATCAGTATATAAAAAAGCAAAGAAAGAAAAGTCAAAGACAATGACACAGATTATTTACCATAGGATTGCTGGAGGAGTTTAATAACCGTCTTTGAATACATTTTCACTTTCCAAAAAAACACTTCAATTAAATAGGAATGTTTCAAAATTCATAATTAGTGAGAGTTTTATAATTTGATTTTATATTGACTACAAAGTTAGATTTAGTAAGAAAAGAAAAATAAAAAACTTATTTTATAAAAAAATCTCATTTATTATCTTAGTGACAATATTATATGATTATGTATTATCATATTAAATAGTTTATCAGAATTATATAATATAATATAAGAATTAAATTAGTTCTATTTTAAAATAAAATTAAAATTTTCTTTTATTATTATGAAATAAGAATAAGATTGTCTAAAAAAAATACCAAGATTAATTTCAAAGGGAGAAAAATAAGATTTGAAAATTTTATCTTCAAATTAAATATTCCCTTAAAAGATTTGACACTAGTTAAGCTATACTTATTGAATGGAAAAAATTAACTCTTTTAATTATGAGTAAGACAGAGAAAACCTCAAATGAAATAAAAAAAAAAAAAAAAAATCCAACATTTCCAATTTAAATTATCTTGTAATGGCAATATTTTATTTTATTTTTTTCCATTAACCTCGCTCCATTGACCCCACACTGGTTAATCAGCCCCACCCTCTATCCTGAGCAAATATATAGTGGCCCCGGCTCATGTGGACCTTCATGAGAGAGAAGAGAGGAGAAAGAGAAAAAGATAAGGGAATTAATTTCCCTCTATCCTCTTCTATAAATAAGTTCAATATTATTCAAGAAACACCAGTCTCTCTAGGCAAACATCTAGTTTCAGTCTCAATAGTGTAAACTGAGAAAACAATGGTGAAGGCTTCGCTCAAATTAGCGTTTTTGTTTGTCATTCTTGCCATGGCCAGTAGTGGTACTTTTCTGCTTCTTTCTTTAATTGTGTGCGTGTGTAATATTATACTCTTATCTACTTGTTATATTGAAATATTGGAATAATGTTTGTTCTTTTAAAGGACGTAGATTTGTGTCATTTTAAATGAGAGAAAGACATAACTTATTAATTTTTATTTAAAATTCTCTCTTGTGATTTTCATTGTTGATATCTTTCTCTCGTTTAAAATGATTTTGCGATCTTTTATAAGGAGAAACACTAAATCCTTGAAATAATCATACACATGATTTTGCAGGCCTTTCATCCGCGAAGGTACCAATAACAAAGGCAGGAGGAGTGATGGATAAAGTTGAATGCCATAATGACATCGATTGCATTCACTTTTTAAAAAGTTGCGGAGGACTACCTCATTGTAACGAGGGCACTTGTATGTGCATATATACTTAAAAAGCAGAGATATTTATTCTTACAACCATGGAAAACCAATAAATTAAGGCTTTATAGCGAGATGTGTTTTGAGGTTGTAAGATTCAAATGTCTAGATAGGAGACTCTGTTCTACATTAATAGTGTGAACGTATATGGTTTCATGCTTTAAATTTATAAAATTATGAATAATAAAACAGAGGTGTCCCCTGTCTATTTTTCTACCAATGAGCCTTTGAACATATTGAATTATGCGCCCTCAGATTAATGAATAGATGTAATAGTATTTTAAAAAACTATTATTATCACTGTGAGTATTGAGAGAGAGGCAGTTATCAATTCACTTTTTTAAGATAAAAAAATCAATAACGATAATAATAAGTTTAAAGTGATTAATAATTATGTAGTTAAAAATTTAAAATGTTTGACTGTTAATATAATTTGTGGAGCAAAAAGTATTGATAATTTTATCCTTTTTATATTTATCTCTTTTTATTTCTTGGAAAGTTGTCTACGTAACATTTTCCTCTTCCAAAACTTGTATTACAACATTTCTTTTTCTTATTAACAAATTTACTGTACAGCGCAAGTTAGCACTTGGTAAAAGCAGAATGCCTTCGGTAGAGTTTTTTTTTTTCTCTCTCTCCGTCAAAAATATAATTTATATATATATATATATATATATATATATATATATATATATGAGGCAGGAGATTCTTACACTGGCGTAAGAGTTAGAAATTTTACACTCAATCTTGATTAAATTACTAAAAAATTAGAGCCCTTAGATATAATTGAGATCAATGATCAAGAGTGTAACTTACACTGGTGTAAAATGATAACCCTATATATATATATATAAGTGTTTAGATTTTTTTTTCTTTAATATGTTTAGATTTATAATTTTAATTACATCATTGATCTAGACCCAACATAGTGAAAAACAGGGTCCAATAAAGTAAGGCCCAAGCCACTTTTAACAATTTAGGCGACATAGTCTCTAAAGGTAACCTATATAGTAGAAGGAGTGCCTATCTCGCCTATACTTGGTCACCAAATCAGTAATTCTTAACTTATAAGAAATCATCATTACGGAAGTCAGTAGCTCATCAAAAGCTCAGACAAGTTGGCCACTTCAAAGGGTTAGTAAATAGGTAACAGCTCCAGTTTGTCACCCTAACTATGAATTTGAGGCTTGCTTCTTAAGGAATAGCTTGAGAGAGACCATCCTTCTCCACCAATGAACATGAATGCCGCCTAATGAAATGACGGTAACAAACAAGACACTTAATCATTATAAATACAAAGGTCATTAGCCCAAATATGCTATCTGCCTATCTCTCTTTAAATGAAAAGAACTGAGTAAAGTATAAACTGTCTTGAACGTCAGAATGTCTTTACAAATATCTCCCCCCCCCCCCCCAAAAAAAAAAAAAAAATTCCCTCATCAATAATCCAGTGGATCCAAGAAATCTTGTGCTAATCTCGCCAACACTTCATCCTATCTCGCAAGGCCTTCCGGTCTATCAGCAATTATATTCTCATTTTCTTTCACTTTGTCAACTTCCTTTATAATATGTTATAATATGTTGAAAACAGAAACCTCCCCCTAAAAAAAAAATAACATAATTGATCAAACCAACACTAATTGGACCGGATCTAACCACAAACAACTTTGTGTCATTTTTAATGAAACTACGTCGTTTTGATGTGTTTAGTTATTTTTTTTAATTTATAAAATTAAAATTAAAAAGAAAATGGAGGAGAGAGAATATTAAAACACACCAAAATGACGTAATTTCATTAAAAATAACATAACTTTGTGTCATTTAAAATGACAAACATTTTTTCCATAAAAGAAATGAAGAATAAAATTAACTTTTATATTTTCTTCTCTAAATATTGAATGCAAAAAAGAAAATAAAAACAATATTATTTACATAATAATTAATATGAACGTGTCAAGAATGAAAACTAAACAAACTAAATTATTGCTTCAAGTGATAAATATTCTTAATCAGATATCTTGAATTTAAGTCCTGCAAATTAAAAAATAATAATATTCTTGGGAACACCACCCCAATCTGTGCATTTCTCAGACTTTTCATTTTCTTCATATCCCTTTAATCTTTCCATTAAATAAGAGTCCCCACTTTGAACCATAGTTTTTGGTCTCAGTTTTAATCTTTACATGTAAAAGACAAGGGTGCATTTCTTTCGGAAGAGTTCATAGCATAATCAAGAAACTTATCCCGCCTTCAAATAAATTAAGCAAAATGTTTTGTCACATTTTTTGAACATAACATTTTATTGTTGAGGGGGATGTTATGCGTTCATACCATAAATATACAATACACCTGACAACAGATTTTACCGAAATAATAATAAAAAAAGAAAAGATTTTAAAAACACGATGAAAATGAATAAAACCAATTATTATTTCATAAACAGTAGTTCTGCCAAAAACTAATAAACAATTCATAAAGTGGATAAACTTCAAATGACTAAGGTTGGACTGGCCCATTTCCGATTTCTCCCATATGAACAAAGTCGAGACAAAAAGTTGGACAACTTTCAAATGACTCTTAACAGTGGATGAAATATTACTCAATTGACAAAAGTCGCTAACTTATTCATAAATAAATGCCCTACGATGCATAACTTCTAACCTATATCTTTTTTACTACAGAAATAATTAAGCAAAACAACAGTCAAAACCAAGCAACTTGGGAGAAGGTAAGCTGTTTCTTGTCCTGAAATTTTATCTATATATACACAACAACTGCGAAAAAGACCCTGTAGGGTCTTTACTTTTCCGTCAAACCTGTTCATTTCCCTTGAGAATATTGTACTTGCAAAGAGGACAAGTTGCATTCATCTTTAGCCATTTCACTATGCATGAAGAATGAAAATGATGGCTGCAAGGAAGAGCATGGATCTCGGTTCCATCCTCGTATGAACAGAGGCATATACAGCATTCCTGAAAAGCAAAACATTTACTAGGAAACCATCAATTTCTATTTTAGAGAAGTGATGAACACACACAAGACTGAAGTAAATTATGTGTTTCAGGAAAGAATACCGCATCCTCAGGTAAAAGTATTCGTTCATTTGCCAAGTAACCACTGCTGGTTTCTATGGGAACCATTGTTCCAGCTCTACCACTAGGCTTTTCTTCATTGCTTAATATTCTAAATCGGTATTTCGGAAGTATACTAAGATCTGCTTCTGACGCACCTTCCTATATTCTCCCGAATTGAGACAATGAGAACAATTAGAAGGTTCACAAGTATTTGAAATTTTTCAGTCAGTCTAAAATATTTTTTATTCATACCTGTCCTGCAACAGCATAGAGAATAGCAATGATGCAGGGCAAACAACAACAGAGGGCAATGCCAATCAAGCATGCCAAAACAACACAAAAGATGGCAAAGAAGACATCAAATGCCAGAAAGACAACAGCCAACCTGAAGAAATTCAGAAACAGATATCCCTTTCATTAAAGTCAACAAACTTTGCAGAATTCATCATACAATCTATCAACTAAAAAGAATTAGAGTAAACGTCCATTTGGTCCTCAACAGATATACTCAGCATCACATTTGTTCTCCATTTATTGAGGGCATCAAATTGGGCCTTCAATAGCAATTAATGAAATGAATTTTGTTCTATGGATCAATAGGATGTCACGTTAAGGACCAATTTAATGACACCAATTGCCATTGAAGGACCATATTAACATATTTATAAAATGGAGGAGCAAAATGGGCATTTACTAGTTTTTTTTTTTTTTTGAGGAAAAAAAGTCCTCCTTGGTTCTATTGAAATCTATAAATTTAAAGATAAAGGACTTTTAGGCTTTAGAGATATAAAATTATCCATTTGACCTTATTTAACATTTTAAGCTTTGAGGACTACTTTGAGAATGACAAATCAAAATAAAGTAGCACAACTGATTCCTAACATACTAGGAAGGATTATGCCAATCTAATCAGAAATAACAGACCAGCTTCTATTAAACCAAAAAAAGAAAAAAGAAAAAAAGCAGACCAGCTTCTAGTTTTTAGAAATTTAGATTTACATGGATAACTTCTTAGGATATAGAACCGATATAACAAGCAGAAAGATGAGTGGGTTTTTAGAATTTCAAGAGGACCATAAACAAGGTAGACCATAGAAAAGCAGATCATGCTTGTTTGCAGCTTATGTTGAAGTGCACTACTTAACAAAAGCATATCTTTAAGAGGCTTTCTCCAGTACCCTTGTTCTTTGTTTTTGTGAGGGTACCAGTACCTTGCAGTAATTGGTGATTAATATTTAATCAACCACCAAGGACGTGGATTAACTAGCACGAGGTTGTTTCAACTTAACCAATGATTTTAAGTACGAGTCCTAGGTACGCAGCTGTGTTAAAAACTTGATAAGAAAAGCTTTGTTGCTCTTGTGGATCTGCCTAACTCACACCGGATTAGTTATGTAATCGATGAAACCGGTGGAGAAATCTCAAAAAAATTATTTAATCACGTGTCTCACTTACTTGAAATATAAAATAAAAGAAATTATTTGTATATTTATAATTCAATTAAATGAAACATATTGCTAAATATTAGCTACTAGTTGCTAAGGGTGCCATACCCTCTTAAAAACAAAGGGAAAGGAATCTCCATCTGTCTATTATCCAAAAGAAATAAATGAATAGGAACATATCTTTTATAACTTGATACACGTGTGAGTCTACATGTGTAGATATCAGACTGTTAAAATTAATATACAAACAGTATTCTTAACAAGTTTGAAATAAAGACTTACCAGTACAAACGTGGAGCATCTTGCAGAAGTACATCACCACCAGAGACAACCCAGTAAAAGCCCACTATCCACCAAAGGAACGACACCCCGGTATTTAATGATTCACATCGTTTCATGAATCTGTTTTGCAGATAACCAAAATCAGTGCATACAAGTATTAGTTACATAGTACATTCCAACAAAGTATATGATAAAAAGCAAACTACGTGTAAGACTATAGTAGATTAACATGCTTTAGCAGCTATGGCACTTAGAAGAGGAACAAACATTTTATTTACTTTTCCCGAAGTGTATGATAGTCCTGTCCTGTGGACTGTGGTTAGTCCTCACATTACATAATATGAGGTACAGCTTCAGTGCCAAAAATATCAGCGCAAGGATTCCATTTACTCAATATAAGAAATTAAAATTAATAGATATTTACGAACAATTTTTGTAGCACGACTAACTCTTATTTAATCAACAACACTAGTGTCTGCAATCTATCCCATTTCTTGACTACCCCATGGAATCTTGGAGGCTTATAGCACATAAAATCTTCAGGTAGACAAAATAACTATTATCCTATCACATATTAATTAGGTCCAATGATAAAGTGGAAATCTATATCAGCGGTAATTAACCACTTCAAGGATAAACAATTGCAAAAATACAGAAAATTTGACTGTACAAGACTAATATAAAGGGGAAAATAATGAAAATTTATTGCAATTATATATGTAAAAATAAGAAAAATAAACTTTAATCCATCACAATAGAATGGTTTTCTTTTCCAATCATATCCTACCACATACAGGTAATAGTATGGCAAGCCACAGAGAGAAGAAGGAGAGGGCCAGGGGAAGGTCTGATGTGTAGAGATGAAAACGTATATCTAATTATAACATAATGCTTTCACCTGTAGGTTATTTGGTCAAAGTAAAGCAACCAAAAGTCATCATAAAATCTAAAAGAATATGTACTAATATAGCACATTATCAAGAACTGGAACATTCTATTAGTTACTTGGTCACCTCTCAATCAATTAATCTTGAAACTTCATTCAGACAAATATGACATACTTCAATTTCTTCACGATGTCCACAACATAAAACTACAGTCACGGAAACAACTCTCCTATCAACTCATGCTGTAAGTGCAAGCCCATAAATATTCTTATCTCTAACAAAGCCCAAACTCATATAATAAAACTTGAGCTGAAACTAAATTTACGCATGAAAAGCAGGAATAAGAATTTAACACTAGACCACTCACTCAAAGAGACTCATATACTATGTCAATGAACCCACTCCCCTATGTTTCAGAGGTACAGGTTCACGTATTAGATACAATATGCAAATACAAAGGTTTTTTTTTTAAAAAAGTTTGGTATACAGGTAAGACATTTTACATTAAATAAATATTACACAAATTCTATACATATAAAACAAAAAATAACTAGAAAATATATATTCAATCTAAATAATACCAACATTAATATATTCAAATACTTCAATTAATTTCTGTGTTACATATTTCTTTTCATTAAACTTTTTAGAAAAATTGCTTTTGATAAAACTTTCTTATTTTTACAATTTTGAAAATAAATATCACAAAGAAAAGGAAATAAAGAAAGAGAAGATATTTTTTTATATTTCAAAATAAACTTTCAGGTGTCAAAGTAATTAATGTTTCCTAAGAAATTAATAATTTTGTTAATTTAAAAAAAAATTCTTTTAAAAATGTTTTTTAGGTATTTCTTTAATTGTAAGAAATGTAATCTTGGATTTAGCAAAATAAGAGACAAAAGTCAAATACATAAAGAATGAAGGCAGTAGGGAGGAATAGTTCACACTTCACACACAGACAGATAAGGGAAGGTTTAAGAAAAAAAAAAGCAGGGAATAGAGAGGGAAGAGTAGAGAAGCAAAGCATGCAATGAATGCTGACAGCGAGAATGCTAACAGTGCAGTAGGCAGAAGATGCCAGAGACAGGGAATGGCAGCATCCAAGAAGAAAGCTTCAACGATGCAAGAAATCCAAAAGATTGTATCGTCAAAGTCAAACCAGAGAAGACAGCTTCAAGAACAGAATAACCCATGGGGGTCATCGCATTTTGGGGAAAAAAAGCAGCCACATAAAGTCATAAAGACAATGTTCCATATCAGCCACTTATCCTGTTCGTATTGGGGATGCCCTGACTGGCTGATTAGTGTTGCCGTGTATTGGCTCAAACAAAACCATATTGGACATTAAAACGTGTGTCTGTGCCAAAAAATAAGGATCTGCCTGCCATATCATTTGCAAATCCCTCAAAGTACAGGTTGGGTGAGTTTTTTGCATTTCAATGCATCATAGACTGTTAGGTGTAGGGCTCAAAAATATATTTATTTCTAGCAAATACTCCATCCAAACTAAACAATAAAGAAGGCTACATCCATGGTCAAGACATGTACAGTACAGGAGATTAAAATGTAAAGATATTAAATAATGTCAAAAATGACACTGAGATCCCTTCTATATTGTTGAAGAATGAAGACAATGAATAGTTCACCCTCATCTAGGTTGAGGAAGATTGCGAAGCACATACTTTTGCCCGTCCACGTCATTACATTAGACAGCCACATATTCCACACACTCCCCTGCACTGAAAACCTTTAAATTCATTATTCGTGGCCTCTTCACTCAACTTGATCAACCAAACTGATCAATGTAGCCTTTGCACACCTTTAGTCACCACCTCAAGCAAACCTAATTTGTTTGTCCATAGTCTCTTGATTGCAACACTATGTCTGTGTTATTAAGTCCAATCATATACTATAAACTACATAACTGTCAATCCTAATTCCAAAGCACCGTATTTTTACACCACCATGAAAAATTGGACCATATTCTCAAGCACCAGTAACTAAACATGACAAAAGTACAAGCCACTGAATATTTATCAGGCCAACTGCACCCAACTTGATAATTTCCTTTTCATGAACACATAATCCTCTACCTAAATTCTGTTTAGGTTCTCCATCGGTTCATTCACAGCTGATATTACCAAACCACAATGCATTTTCGCAATACTAGTAAACTCAACTAAACACTCACAAAAACAATTGCTCTAGTTCCTGCTCACTTGAGTTCCTCCACAATAACATCATCCTACACACAACAAAAGCACTAAATTCTCCAAAGCACACCAGAAATCATAATTTCTGTTTTCCCAAAAACACTCACAACTAAAGTAATGAAATCAAAAACCCTAGCATCCAAAAAAAAGGAACAAATCAATTTATAAAAAATTCAGCTAAAAATATCAATTAAATCAAACCTCAGCGATTTAAAAAGGCGAAACAAAATTGAACTGAACCCACCCAGAGCGAAACGAGTTCACAGAGCTCCCATCGTTGTCGTCGCTGTCGTTGCCGTCCTCAAACTCACCGGCATCACTCTCCACGTCCTGCGCTCTTCGCCGCCGTCGCGCATCTCGTTGGCTCCGGCGCCGATACTGGAGCCACACAAGCAGCACGTGCACCAGGCACTGCAACGAGTACCCGATTATCCAAACCCGAATCGGCGTGTTCGGCTTCTCGTCCACGGTGCAGGCCAGCATCACCGCCGAGACCACCGCGAAGGCCATATTCCACGTCATGTCAAGCGCCACCACCGGCTTCGAGTAGCCCCAGTCGGCGCGGCGCTCCTCCAGCTCACGCGCCGCAGTCTCACGCACCAGCATAGACGGTCCGCGGCGGCCGGCGGCGCGGCCAAGGAGGAGAGCGAGGGTAGGGGCCCGGGAGACAGTTTCATGACGGGGACGGAGGAGCGGCGCGTGGGTATCCGGCGCCTCCGTGACTGTGGTTTGTGATGACATGGCTAGGCTATAAAGAGAAAACGTGTTTGCATAATTGAAATTAATAAGAGAATGAAATTATTAAATAAATAGGTAAAGACCGTAGAAGTAGAAATTGGACTTCTGGAAGAAGAAGAAGAAGAAAAAAAAGCACTTTTGGGATGATAACTAAAAAAATTTAAGTTATTCAACGCCGCGCGCGCGCGTGACTGTATGGTTTAATAGGGTAAACGGTGAACGAAGGGAGAAGTGATTAAAGAAGGAAGCGATTGTTGAGTGATGCGTTGAATGTTAGATACAAAGAGAATTGGTTGTTGGAAACGGTGAGTTAACAGAGACGGGCCTCTAGTGAAGTTGAAGAAAGCTAAGTGTAGGTTGCATTACCACTTACCTCTTCCTGATTGCCGTTGTGAAGTTTGATTAAAAGGACGGTTATACCCTTTGTTGACCTTCCAATTTCCACAGTGCACAGGCCAGTTGCTATGTTTTTAATTATTTATTCAATGAAATCTAACGAGTGGGGCAAGCTTCGAGATACTGACCAAAATGTCACTGTTCATCAACTTTTTTACCTAAATACCACGCGAACAGTGTTATTTCCCAATCTGCCACGAAGGCAAGTTCGCTTCTGACACAAGCGACCTCGGTTTGTTGACGTGTCACATTTTTAGTGGATAACAAATATTAAATTTAAAAAAAAAATTCAAAAAAAATGAAGTTCGCCTACCATGTAGGCGAACTTGATTAAAATATAATTGGAACCGAGGTCACCTGTGTCAGAAGCGAACTCTGACACCACCAGGAAGCTGACACGTCAGCAAACCGAGGTCGCTTGTGTCAGAAGCGAACTTGCCTTCGTGGCAGATTGGGAAATAACATTGTTCGCGTGGCATTTAGGTAAAAAAATTGGTGAACAGTGACACAATGGTCACTGTTCCGCAAGCTTCGATATTGTCTTAATTAATATATATATATATATATATATATATATATATATATATATATAAAATATTTCTCCAGAAATAAATACATATTTGTATACATGCCATAGATTGGTGTTAAGACATGGAAAGATTAATCCCTAAGGGAAAAGATTGCAGATAAATTATTTATATTTATTCTCAAAATGACATTGTTTTGATATTGAAATCTTAAAAAATTATAAATATAAAGACTATTATAACCCTGAAATAAATTAAATTTATAAAAATACCATAATTTTTGCTCAAAACGACGTCGTATTGGACTTACTGCAGATAACTTATCTACAGTAACTGCAAAAAAAGCGAACCCTTTAATTAATGGATTTTATAAGAGTTATGTTGTAGAAAAAGTAATTGTGTTATGTTATAGATATTTGTTTTGCGTGTCAGAGTTTTGTTTTTTTTTTTTGTTTCAAAAATTACGGGTCTCACAAAATGCTGTGTGTGAAGGAAAGTTGTTGTGGTCATGTTAAATGATAGATACAAAACCCTTAATTAATACATAAATAAGTCTATCAAATGGCATCAAGAAATGTTGATGTTGATTATGGCTATACGATTTGCTAAAAAATTGAAATTATAGGAAATTGAATTGCTTTCTTTTACAAAGTTTTTTGCTTGGATGCTTTCATTTACAAAGCTGACACAGTGGTCGAAGCAGAACTAGAGGAAGGACTTCGGTCTCCTTCTCGTCTAGCTGGTGCCAAAAGAGAGAAACAATGGAGAGAGACAGAATAATAACGTAAGACGTTTACACATTTCAGCATCTCTTCGAGGCCACCTTGGCTGCACAGAGGCTCAAAAGCATCAGGCAACTACTTCAACAAATGCACCTATTACTGCAATATCTTCTTGGTTATCAGTGGCAACATGTTAGCCTTTCAAATCATTCCCATCAGGCGGCGTGCCAAATCAGCATGCAATGCATGGCCACCCTGCATCAAGCATAAAAACCATGTTCATCGCAGAAGTAGCTTCTTGAGCATAATCAAAATCTGGGAATAGGATTGAAGAACACAGTTCTTTTGCAGAGGGTCAACAAAAAGGCCACTTGAGTACGATTCGATTAGTATTCATACATATGATATTTGATCGATAGAAAAAATATATAGAATATTTTAAAATACAATTCTTATAAGATAATTACAATATAATTCATTAGATTTGTGAATTTTGCACCGCCTAGACGAAATAAATCAAGTTATTTCTTTGTTCTTTCTTTTATTTTTCTTTCAACTTCTGATAAAAAAAAAGTGTTGACAGATAATCTCTATAAATATTTCAAAAGGGATTGGATAAATTACGTTGCACAAGATAAAGCATCAGCACTTGTGACATGATAAAATCAAATTCATGAATGAAAATATCTAATATAGGGAAGAACAGAGAACAAAAGACACATGCCTTGTAAGCTACAATGTGTGCCACTGGGAGTCCTTGATTCCCAAACTGAGCAAACAGCGAGAGATCACCAATAAGATCTAAGATCTTGTGTCGACAAGGTTCATCACTGAAATGCAGAGGTGGATTCAACCAACCTTTACTGGCACTGCAGAAGAAAACAGTACTAATTATAAAATGACATAGAAGCACAATAGACAAAATGTGCACGATCAATGCATAACTTTCTCAAGTATCACCAGAATCCAAAGAAATAGCTACACACTTTGCTGCACTGTACTAACAAAATTCATTTGGCTAGCATATCACTTAATCAAAGGTACTCCAGTCCAATCTACAGATTCAATGAGATTATTTCATCCTAAAGTTACTATATGTCAGATGTGTATGATTGACTACAACCATGTTTGAGGTTTCCACTAAAAACATTTGCTTATTCTTTTAAACTACTTGAGCTTATATGATTGTGATAATTCAATCATTCTTGCCATGGGGCCTAGGAGAAAATAAAAGGTTATCATGCTAGTGTGTGTAATATGTATTTGGTTCGGCTTGTACTAGTCAGCTACAGATTTCTAAACTCATGTTAGAAAAACCTGGTCTGATCTTATTCTTTAAGATGAAGGATAAATTTCTAAAACTGGGTCTTATGGGGTGCGATGCCTTATTTTACGGAAAAAGAATTTATGCTCTAGAAGTTTCATGTATTAGTTTCAAATAAAACCCTTTAATTCTGAAAGTTATAGAAATCCATGATTCAAAAAGAAGAAATTCTGTCTTCTAAAAATGTCAGCCACTTGGTCATCAGTTTTGCCAAATTGTAACTTAAATTGCTCTTCATCAATGAGGTCTTCAGTGAAGTTATTATGGACTTTGTGGCTGTGAAATATTTGGATTCTGAGTCAATGATCTAATTAGCGTATTGTCAAGACAGATTCTTGATGGGAGTCTTCACAGGCCAAAGATCTAGTTAGCATTGTGCTTGTGAATTATTCTTTTAACAAAGTTTCTTCAGGACTTGGTTTTGAACTTGATGGTACCATTATCTTTGTTGAGACCTTTGGGATTATAGTCACCAACTGGTTTTACTTCTTATCAATAATCATACGTCGTTTCTCATAAAATTTCACATTTACTACATATCACTTTAGAACAAACTTCGCAGCAATCACAATATTTTGATATAACAAGGAATATAAAAACCATCTTTGTCAAGTTTTGGATTACCTCTCTTGGTTTGGACAATAATTTCACCTTGGCCTTCTATGCTAATGGACTTAAAACGTCCTAGTTTCACTTTTAGACTTGGATTTCTCATCCAAAGGAAAAAATTTATAGCTAAACATATAATTTGTTAATAAGATTTGAGAATTTTTTATTGTAAGGAGACAGTATTACATAGATAACTACTCTTGATTGAAAGAAACCTGAACACTCTCACAAATCATTCACCAAACAAATGAGAGAAAAAAATACAAAAAAATAAAAAAATAGAAAACAAAATAAAATGGACAAGAAATCTAAAGGTATCTTATTTTCTTTTTATTTTTCCTATCCTTGGCTCTAATCATATGATTGCTACAACCAATATCAACACAATAAACCCATCCTTCATTTACACTGGTGGAAATATATTAAGAGTAAAACCAGCTTTTAGTCCCTCAAAAATACAAGATTTATCAATTTCATTCCACGGCGAAATTTTTTGACAATCTCATCTCTCAAACCCAAAATCCGAAACAATGTAGTCCCCCCATCCATCTTACGGAGACAATGTTAACAGAAGTTGCTGGAGTGCATCATTTTTTGTTGATGTGGCCAAGTCTATTTAGTTCAAGTCAGGCAAAACAGCATTTTTTCTTAACAATCCCTAATAAAAAAGGACTAACTAGGCTTGACCATATCTGCATAAATAGTTCACATCAGCTTGGAGCTATAAAGCTCCCGCTATGCATAAAGTCCAAAGAATGGTCAGAGGTCAGACCCATTGTGTGGGTCTAAAGTAAGCGGTCTTACCTTGCATTTACAATAAGCTGAATACATGAATTGAATCTGTGACCTTGGGTCACATGACGACAACAGTCACTGTGCCAAATAGTTCACTTTAGCAACCATCATTAATTTTAAAACAATGGTTTCCATTTGCGGACCACATCACTTGGGGCAGCCACATCACCTCGCATTTGCATGGTGATTTCCATTCACACAAAAAAACGGTGCAATGTAACACTGTCATGGCCACAATGTCCCAACTCCACAATGCAATAGCTTTCGTTTAAAAATCACAATAGCAAACTTGAAGGAATTTCGATGCCACATCAGCCACAACCCATAATCCCAATAACTGCAACCACTGAAATTTAAAACCAGAGCCGTATCCTTAGATGGATGAAGGAAGACACTGTTGGGAATTTTATGATAAAAGTTATATGTGAAGGAAGAAATTGATAAGCTTGTATGACTAAAATATGGTTTTGCTCATAAGAAATTTTCTTTGAAACCTCTTCCCTCCAACAACAACAAAACTCTTTTCCCACTAGGTGAGGTAGGCTACATGAATCAAATGACACAATTGTGTTGTATCCAAAACCAATTCTTCAGAGAGGTCATTTAATTCTAAATCCTTTTAATGGTTTCACTTAGAGTCTTTAATGATCTACTTCTTCTCTAATTATTAGGCTATCCTCCATCTGATCAGCTTTTCTAATTAGGGCTTTTGTTGGTCTTCTTTTCACAGTTCTAAACCATATTAGGCACAATTCTACTATCTTTTCCTCAATAGATGCACTCCAACTTTCACTCTAATACATTCATTCTCAATCTTGTCTTTTCGTGTATGACCACTCATCCAATGGAACATTCTCATCTCTACAACTCTTATGCAACCCATCTTGATATGAAGTGTCTTCCTTATTTTCTATTTAAAAATAAAAAATCCTTCATTTTACCCCTTCGGACAATCTATCACATTGTACATCATGTAAATCAGCATTTATTGCGGTCTTGGCTTGACCTACTTCTACAATTCTACCGCACCCTTGATTTAATCTCTTCCTCCTCTCCATCCACATCATTCATCTTAGATTGAAAAGCTTGTTGCAATGGTTGTTATACATCTGCTCATTCTTTTCTCATGAGCTTCAAGAGAATTAGTTATTTCAAGCGAAGTATCTGTTGTAAAGATTTGGATTTTTCTAAAATTATGCGGCAAGCTGCTATGAAATTTCTCAACAAAACTCATTCACGATGCTATCACCATAACTTCTAATTTCATTAACAATCCCAACCACTTGTAGAGAAATCACATACCTTTTCATTTATCCTCCAAAGGTTCTAAAGCTTGATTGAAACAACTTTCTCTGAGCCTTTTAACTCATTTCGCAGAATATCCCACATTTCTAATATTGAACAAATGGCCTATGCATAGAGAACTTGCAAAGCCATTGGTTGTGGTTGCTTTCAATACCTTCATCTACAATTACCAAAGAGCTTGGGAAATGAGAGACGTTCTCATTTAGCTGCTCTGGAAATCATAGCATTCAGTATTCACCATCAAAGACAGGAATTTGGCTTGGGAAAATTTGGAAAGATGTTTCAGTATTGGGATATGAAAGGAGGATTAGAGAACAAGACCACTAATAGAAAAATCTAAACTGATCTTATTCTTTGACATTAAAGTATAAATTTCTGATATAATAAAGCCATAAATATCATAAACAAATAGTGACTTATTTAAAGGAAACAGTGCCTTACTTTAAGGATCTAGTGCATAGATTTATGGTCCTTGTTTTATGGACCTAGTACCTAGATTTATGCCTAGGCCTGTGCTATATGTAATAATTCAAGCATTAACCTATAGTGGAATTTCTAACATGTCATTTTTGCTCCGTAAACTTCTCTGCTCTTTAGTACCATAGGCTATCAAATTTGTTCAGTAGCTATCATATTACTGACTACCGAGCATCAGTAACAGTTATAATGCATACTTGTACCAAAGTATTTACCTACACACAATGGCATTTTCTAGAGAACCCCCTTTGATAAGTCCAGCATTACGCATTTGCTCGACCTGCAAGATATTTTAAAGCATGGAAACCAGTGTTAGTCGCATATTATCAAGCATATACAACTAAACTCATAAAAGAAGAGAACTATTTACACTTGAAAAGTGATTCATAAGCCATGCATATGGAACTATAGCTTGTTTATTTGTAAACTGTACCTATATTGATAGGTAACATACTGTTAAGATCCTACTCCAAGGTATGAGACTTGGAGTCCCACATGAGAAACATAAGGTTCTGATGTGGGGTTTATATGGACTTTGGGCTCTCTTACCTCATGGGCTAGTTTTTGGCGTGCGGCTCTTCCAAGGTTCGTATCAATTGGTATCAAAGCCTTCCACTATGTCTCCCGGTTGCAATTGAGCGGCGCGGGTGGTGATGCTAGATTTCCAATGTTCGCCCAAAGACTAGCGCAAAGTCAGCCCGCATACGGAGCGTGGTGGAATGCTACAATCCTACTCCAAGGTATGGGAATTGGAGTCTCATATGGGAAACATAAGGTTCTGGTGTGGGATTTATATGGACTTTGGGCTCTCCTACCTCATGGGCTAACTTTTGGGGTGAGGCTCTCCCAAGGTTCGTATCAGTTACCTACATTCATTCCAGAATCAAGACAAAACCACCATCCAGTATATCATTTACTTACAATGACAAAAGAGCATCATAACATTTTGTACAAAGGTTTTAGTGGGAGTAAGGTTGTCTGGACCCACAGAGAGGTTATTATTTCCAAAAACATGAAATACAAGTACACTAGCGCCTCCTTATATGAAAAGGAGCATATTTTGTTGCAAGAGCACCAACATAGTACAAAACCATACACAGGATGTATGACTCCAACAGTAAAAGAAAACACAATAAACCCATGAAAACTGCTAAGAGACATAATAAAACCATTCATATGCCTTTACCCACCAACTTAAAATCTTGGGAAAGCTAGTTCATGACATGGTGTCAGGGACTCTATGACCAAGTGGTTTAGAGTTTGATCATTGCAGTCCTATCGTTCTAATATAATGTTAAATTTAAGCACAAGGTAAAAAAAGAAAAGTGCTTTATCCATGCTTCAAAACCCAAAGGGTTCTCGAGTGAGGGACATGTTAAGAGACATAATAAAATCATTCAGATGCCTTCACCCAACAATTTAAACTTTTGGGAGAGCTGGTTCATGACAAAAACCACAATTGTGAGATCCATACAGCCAAACTAAATCTCCTTTGTAGCATAAGGATACTAATTACATGCCCACTGAAATCAATAAAGTGTGTTTTAATTTTAAATTTTAACTCCATATCTCGAGCTCCCATCCCCTTAAACTTATCCTATCTCAACCCTTTCCCTATGAGTTTAACAAACCCTAAATAGCTTTTGGCATTTCCCAAAAGCATATAAAAACTATTTTAAGAGCCAGATTTCTAAGAGCCATCATGAAAGGACAATAGATTACTGATTAGTCTCTTTCTCTTTTTCACATAAATAAAGGCGGCAAAATGGGCTCGGCCTGGCGGAACGGGCTAAGTTTTTCAACTCGCCAGCTCGCCAAGTCGTTTTTTTTTTTTATGTAGATTGGGGAACTGATTCGCATACATAAGGCTCCGACGAATGGATCAGAGATTGTGAGGAGTACCATATCTTTGATTCCACATGAACGCCTCCTCTGGAAAGATGTTCTTGAACTTATTTGCTCGTCAGACAAGGAAATTGTAGGCCAACTATATGTTCAGCATGTTATGAAGCCCTTGCTGGGTCCCAAGTATGTTGATGCTGGGGTATGTGAATGAGTGTTGCATTTTTGCTCCTACATAATTTCCCTGATCCAGATTTGATGTTGGAAACCCATTAACCGAAAGTGGTTATTTTTATCATCCTATGGTCATTGTCTGTCTCTGTTCTGACCAATTTGTAGTATTGAAAAAAATGGGTTTGGTGAATTGCCCTAAATGGGAAAGTGCATTAGTGGAACAAAATTTAAAAAAAAATATATGAAAGAAAGTGCAACAGCACCACAAACTGAAGAAAATGTTAAAATTATAATTAAATAATAAAAAGGGAAGAAAAAGAAAGAAAAAAAGAAAACGTTGAAAAAAAAAATATAGGCGGGTTGATGGCGGGGCGGGGTGGGGCTGGCGGCCCGTTTTGCCACCTCTACACATAAATAGCACCAACAGAAAAAATCATATCATTAGCTGGTGAATTTTCTGCAGCCAGAATTCAACCCATAGGTGCCTGTCAACAAAAGTGCAGCATGTTCTGCAACATGATTTTTCCCGCATTCCTAAAATTCATTGCTGAAAATAAATTATAGATCCTCTCTATCGCAGTAATCTTGGAGAAATTCCAATTTGAAGTAGATAAAAGCAAAACCTACAAGCCAAAGAAAGTTACCTTGTTCTATTGCATATCATGCCATATTTAAGATAAGTGCAATAAACTTACAGAGGATAGGCTCTTCCTTTTTCTTTAATTATTTAATTTATATTTATTTAAACTCGCCAACGTCATTATTTGTTGCCAATGTCTACATAGCCAGTTCAAAGGTGGATAAAAGAGTAGGGCTGTGGTAGGCAGTCAGAAACGCACTTAAAATATTTTTGAAACTTTATTACATGGATCAAGTTCAATTAAAACCTTAATATGAAACTTTAGAAGAAACTGTAAAGAACCTTGGGATACACAACCCCAAAAGCTAGCTCAAAGGGTGAGAGTGCCCAAGGCCTTATAAACTCCACATTAGTTGCACATACAACCAATGTGGGACTATATATCTCAACACGCCCCCTCACACGAGAGCCCATTGGGCTTGAAGAGTGGACAATGCAACAGGCCCAGCCTACCTGTGCTAAGAAACTCCACAAGAGAAAGTGGGGGACGGCGAGGCTCTGATACCATGTAAATTACCAAGAGACAAGAGGAAATAATAGTAATCCTTGTTGTATTAAACTACACAACATTGGTGCTATTATATAGCAAACCAATTGAAGAATACAAAGAGACACACTCAATGTGGGACTTCTTTACACTATTAACACTAACACTCTTAACACTCCCCCTCAAGCTTTAGCATATAGATCATATGCTACAAGCTTGATACATAAATAATACTCCCATTAGGAACCAAAAACAACAATGCTACATCAACGAAATGAAATGACTAAGTACAACAAATCAACTGGAATGACCATCAGTCTGAAGAGCTGATAAAGAGACAGTGCTGGAATGGACATCAGAGCATGGATGGTGCCGGAATTATCATCGGCAAGACAACTGAGCTGACCAGGACATCAGCATCAAGATCCCTCTCAAACATTTCATTTAACAGTTGGTGAGCAGCCGTGATTTCCCCTTGACTATGCTACAAGCTTATTACAAGAAAGACCAAGTAACATAACATCAAAATAAATCTCCTAAATGAGAAACCAAAAATCAACAATGTGCTAAAAATGGCGTCGAAATGAACATCAACATGGAAGATGCCGGAATTATCATCGGCAAAGACAATTGTGCTGAAATGACCATCAGCAACATGGACGGTGCTCCCCCTCAAGAGGAACTTCTAAACAGTGCCGGAATGATCATCAGCAAAGACAATTGTGTTGGAATGACCATCAGCAACATGGACGGTGCTCCCCCTCAAGAGGAACTTCTAAACTGTGCCGGAATTATCATCGACAAAGACAATTGTGCTGGAATGACCATCAGCAACATGGACAGTGCTCCCCCTCAAGAGGAACTTCTAAACAGTGCCGGAATTATCATCGGCAAAGACAATTGTGCTGGAATGACTATCAGCAACATGGACAGTGCTCCCCCTCAAGAGGAACTTCTAAACTGTGCCGGAATTATCATCGGCAAAGACAATTGTGCTGGAATGACCGTCAGCAACATGGACAGTGCTCCCCCTTAAGATGGATGATGAATAGTATAAATACTCCATCTTGGGAAGAAAGAAGATTAAAGAAAAACAAAGCTTGAATCGGAAAAGTCGCCGGAGACGGCGGTGGGTCGTTGGAAAAGTCATCGGAAACGGTGGTGGATCGCCGAAAAAGTCGCCGGAAAGTCATCGGAAAAGTCGCTGGAGACGGCTGTCAACGGTGGACGACGCGGTCAACGGTGGTCGGTCAACGACAACGGTGGTCAACCCAACAACTTCCCAAGGATCATTCTTTTCTGATGTGACAGATCAGTCTAAGCTGCAGTCACAGAGCATACTAAGAAAAATAGCTAGCTTGGGATACACAACCCCAAAAGCTAGCTCAAAGGGTGGGAGTGCCCAAGGCCTTATAAACTCCACATTAGTTGCACATACAACCAATGTAGGACTATATATCTCAACATGCCCCCTCACACGAGAGCCCATTGGGCTTGAAGAGTGGACAATGCAACAGGCCCAGCCTACCTGTGCTAAAAAACTCCACAAGAGAAAGTGGGGGACGGCGCGGCTCTGATACCATGTAAATTACCAAGAGACAAGAGGAAATAATAGTAATCCTTGTTGTATTAAACTACACAATATTGGTGCTATTATATAGCAAACCAATTGAAGAATACAAAGAGACACACTCAATGTGGGACTTCTACACTATTAACACTAACACTCTTAACAGAAACGATAGAAAATAACTTACTCTAAATGGGTTTATTGAAAGTTTGATTTTGATAGAGCACATTGGGGTCATTTGATCCATGCAGTTGAATCCACTTAGAGGGATAAAGCATGGTTGGTGTATAGCTAGTCAAATTTACCACCATGTGTTGTTCAAGTACCACAAACAAGTGACATCTTAAATCTTAATTGGTTTTCCGTTGACATATGGCAACATAAACAAGCCAATAACCACACTACAAATCCAACAACTTTAGAACTAACCTCCTCGTAAATGCAGAAGGTTCTTGACAAAGCTATCTGCATGGAATAAACCAAATAATCCAAGGGGGTTGTAGAAAACCACTGGCAGCCAATAGCAGGTGCCTGCAAGGTGTATTTGCCCATTATTTGATACCAAATCTCTACAAAATGGTTTAAATCTACTATATCAAAATCTCTTGAATGAAAAGTTTTAACGTACTTGTATTCTAGTATTCTTTGGAAACAAGTTACAAATATCAGCAGCCTTAAAGACAAAAGCATCATTACACTTGTGATTTCTTTAATTTTTTTACTTGATGTTTACCCTACAAATTGATTAGATCATTGTGAATAGTAAGATAGCAAACATAGAAGAGGAAGTAGAATCTTTTAGAACAGGTCATCTAAACCAAAACTAACAGGAAATATTAAGTCAAAGCAAGATGCATTCTTTTCACTTCAATCAATGAAACACCTGCAGATGCTAAGGGTCATAAAGTCCACTCTTGGATCTTCTTTTAAGAGTTAAAGTTTTTAGCCATGTAGGCAAGGTATCAAAGCTCAGTGGAACAATTAATCTTGACTTATCTTGCCAACTTTAGTAATCTTATAATTAATTTTAGAACAAAGCAGTGCAAAGTAGTTCCCCGCGTTTCAAGTTTAATCGTGAGTTTTTCTTTTGGATAGAAAAAGAAATTCAATAAGAGAGAAGAGAATTACAAAGACAGGAGGATAAGATGTCCACCACCAGAAAACTACAAATAAAATAAAATATAATGAAAATTACAAAGAAGCAGCGGAACAAAACTCCAGACTAAAATCACACAATGGCAGCCTAATCTCTACGCAAATCTGAAATGGCAGCTTTTTGTCTATTTCTCATGAAGAATAAGTACATAATCTCCTTTGAAAGGCAGGTAAAATATATTCTTTCACCCTTAAAAAATTAGATAACTTATGATGATCTAAAGAGTAAAACAGAAAAACAAGCAAAACTTTTCATTTGAAGTATTGTAATCTTTATAACTAAATGCTATAATCTTGAATCTATATTCTAATCTAGAGGTTCTTCTCATAATGAGAAACAGATTAACAGGGGCAAGCAATGCTCAAAGCCATGAAACATAATCATTTTGTTCCATTATTAGGTGTCCAGTAAGCATAGTGTATTGAAGAAAACAGAAAGTACATAGAAATCTCTGCCTGAGAAAAATCTAATGATTGATATTCTCAATACAGTGTATCAATCTATCTTTACCTGTGGAAAGCTGATGCCATAAGTTATTTGAACCACTTCAGAAGGAAATGCAGCAATAAAAGAATCATTTCTCCAAACATTCACTGGTTCATTCACATGTGGCGCCATTTTCTCACAGCTTTTGCCCTCGAGATCAGTTGCCACCTTTAAACCAACTTCTTCTACTGCTGCCACCCATTCCCTTGCTGACCCATCAAATATAGGAATCTGTATGAGAAATTAAGGAAACAAGTAATTCTCTAATACAAAATATTTATTACAGGAAATGAAATGTAAGAGGGGGGGGGGGGGGGGGGGCAAAGAAAATTTATTTACGAATGGTTTTCCACAAAATACTATCTTTATTTTGATGAAGCAGTGCCAAGAATAATAAACCACTCACCATTTAACCTCGACTAGAGAAGGTGGGGTGAGAACAATTCTTGTACGCAAATTTACCAATTCATATTTGCAAAGAGGCTCTAGTTAGATTGAGCGGGGTTCATTTCACAATGGGTATCTAATAACTGGGACAGTTAGCAAGCTTATGGTTAAACAACGTTGAACGTTCATGTGCAAATAATTTCTCATCAGCTGATGGAAATTGTTATAGTTTATTTTGTTTGCCAACTATTTGAGTGTATAATTGTTGAATATTTTGTTCAAAACTGGATTAGGTAGTAGTAGTAGTAGTAGTAGTAGTTGAATCCAAATATCACAGGTTGAAAAAGGTCACTTCACTTGATTGCTGGTACCTTTGTTATTTATCGTCCTTTCTACGAAGAATTTCTAGACAGACGAATAATGGTGTGAAAAAGAGAACATACGATAACAGAACATGTTCACTTTCCAAATTTTATCAACAAAAGTGAACTCTTTCATTTAATCAAACCACATTTAAAAATCTCACCTCAGCATCATTCCCTTGAGCATCCGAATTCTCTATCTCAATTCTACAATTATCAACACCAGCAGCCTCCAAAGCAGAAAGCAAGTGCTCCACGGTTTGAATTCGAAAACCGTCTTTACACAAAGTGGTGCAGAGAGGCGACACCTGAGCAAAATCAACAGACGCTGGAATCGAATTGGAGCGAAAATCAAAGTACCTCCCATGGCCAGCGAATCCAGGGCACAATCTCACCGTCGAAACCTTTCCCGAATGTAAAGCCTTACCCCTACGCTCAACGCAACCCGCTAGGGTTTGCTGAAACATGCCGGTCTGCATAAACAAGTTAATTCACTTCATTAGAACAAGTTTCTGTTTGGTTTCTGAGAAATGTCGGGAAAACTGAACGAGTGATTTTCATTAGTTAATACACGCCAACAGGAAAATCAATAGAAAGCATAGGGAGAGAAAAGAGTATAGGGAAGGGTGCAGCCTTTGGTGTAAGTATAACAAAGCATTTCAATGAGAACCACTCAGCAGATAGATAGATAGATAGATAGATAGATAGATAGAAGAAGAAGAGAGAGAGAGAGAGAGAGAGAGAGAGAGAGTTCGAACGGGTTTCCATGAGACGAGTTTTGACGATCGGAGAGCGCTGAAGGCAGACATCGTCACTCAGGGGAAGTCAGTATGTAGTGACCAGCACGGACGGCAAAAAAAATCCAGGCATCCTCGGTGACGGGACACGTGATGATGGTACTCTTAAAATAAAGTTTAAATACCCTTTTCGCCGCTGAAAATTTTTGACTAAGCCTCGTCTGGTCCCAACGATAAAAAAGATTTATTTTGGTCCTTAATTTTACAAAAAATAGTGTCACGGTATTTAACGGCCCAACTAACGGACCACACGTGGAACATTAGTTTGCTGAGTTATCGTTAAGTAGTCTAGCGTAGAAGTAATATGACGTCGTTTTGAACATGTCTTATGTCTTCTTGGAGTTTTGGACAGCTGACCCTAGCATCGAAGGCCCTATTTGGTCCTTGACTAATTTATCGAGACCCTGTTTAATTTTAACACTAAAAAAATGGATATGAACATAGAAGTTGCAAGGCATATTGCAGCAAACCACCGACCACAAACCTTTCAAACCACTTGCAAATCCACTGGCCCTGTTGCAGCAATCGAATGGCCCTATTAATTTTTTCTTTCATGAATCTTCTCTGTTGAAGGATTTCACAACAAATTGCTGATACTCATCTCCCATTTATAAAATCATGGATGGAAGCTCACATAGAACACTCAACACCACAAGTTGTGATTTGGTGAAGGCAGAAAGCCAACAACACCTTACAAACACGAATAAAACAACTGTCACTGAGGAACTGAATCAATAATGGCAATAATCTTTTTCTGCAGCTCTACCTTGTTGGCTCCTACAAGTTTGTCAACTTGTTGTCCATCTTTAAGAAAGAAAAAAGTTAGTGTGGCTTTGATGTCCCATGAAGTACTAAAGTCCTGCAATATACACAACCATGATCAATAAAGTTTGTTGGCAGTTTTTTTCTTCTCTATTGTAACACAAGACATATTCCCAATAACATCCACCAGGGATAAACCACATGATCATCCAACAAACTTTAATCTATTATAAGAACATCATAGATGAGTATTTCTCGGATAACTGACAGTAATATGGCGCAATCATCTTACAAGGACCACACCATGTTGCACTGAAATTCGCAATCACCTGTTGAACGTGGAGCTTTTGGTATTAATTATTGCAGTATTAACAAGTAAAATAAAGTCAAAGAAAATGTATTGGAAAATCTGCGAGCAATAAATTATATATTTTATCAAAAATGGGAAGGGTCAACTTCAAAGTGTCTCTGTAAGCATGCATGCTTGTGTGTGGGGGTGTCACACACACACAGAGAGAGAGATAAAGTACTAATCAGCATTAAGATAATATCTTAATATCTAGTGAGCACAAATTCTTCGCCAATATTAAACTAGCCAGAGTAAAATCATTGTTAAAAGAGAGACAAGGTAATGTTGTCCGTTACAAGCCCATTGTTTGTTCAGGTTCTTACACAGAAAACCTTACAACTCATCACCAACCTTGAATGTAGAATTCATTCCTAAGTTATACCTCAATGTTCCTAAAGGGATTAGGGAGGCTTTGCTATCAAGCACTGAAAATACAGATGTTACCAACTATATACATGTATGGTAAATCATGGTAAGGTATTAATGGTTCAGTCAAACAACACAACAAAAATGGATATAAGCATTTAATTTTACTGTCGTACATATCAAAAAAGAAGGAAAACTTCCAATTTTTCCATCCCTCATTGCTTCTTCCAACTTTTGGTCCCAAGATTCTTTGGTTGTAATAAGTTTCACATTCCCACTAGCAAACTCCACATTATCATCAAAATCAGTATCTTTAGCTTGAGGCTACGAGCATTAGGAACATGAATCTTCTGTGATAATTGACTTATCAATGAATGAAGTTGATTGATAGATTACAAAGTTCTAGAAGCATTGAGGTTCCACTAAGTTGCTATCATACATTTAAAATAGAGCCATTAGATTGCTGCAATGGTGGTTTGAAAGGTTTGTGGTTGGTGGTTTGCTGCAATATGTCTTGCAACTTCTGTGTTCATATCCATTTTTTTAGTGTTAAGAACCAAATAAGGCCTTGATAAATTTGTCAGGGATCAAATAGGGCCTTCGATGCTAGGGTCAGCTGTCCAAAACTCCAAGAAGACATAAGGCGTGTTCAAAACGGCGTCGTATCACTTCCACGCTGGACTACTTAACGGTGACTCAGCAAAATAATGTTCCACATGTGCTCCGTTAGTTGGGTCGTTGGATGCCAACTAACGGAAGGACAAACATGGCACTATTTTTGTAAAATTAAAGACCAAAATGAGCTTTTTTTATTGTTGGGAACCAAAAGGGACTTCGTGAAAATTGGACAAAGAAAAAATACAAAATAAAATATGGCTGCATGAGATTCATGAACCTAATCTCAAATTTTACTAACTAATTTTCAAAATATTTTTTTTTTCATTTAAATAAAATATAGGAACAATGCATTCTATTTTATTTAAATATTTTGATTGTCTCCTCATCACAACATCCTCCTAAGTCATTGGTATAATTGGCAAATTATTAGTAATTTATACATGTTCATTTTAATCCATTTATTTTGCTATTGTTAAAATAAATTTCATTTTATCTTCTTTTCTTTATTTGATAAAATATATATATATATATATATATGTATATATATATATATATATGAAAAAAAATATTTGTCCTTATAAGCGATATAAATTTGTTGTAAAAGGATAGACATTTTTCCATGTGTGTGTATTTATATATATATATATATATATATAGGGGTTTACATTTTTGCAGCTGCTATACGTGTAGCAGTCAAATACTTACCATATATATATATATATATATATATATATATATATATATATATATATATATATATATATATATATATATATATACGTGAAATCATTAAATATGCAGAATCATAACCATACACCTGTCATTGTTGTACGTAACGGCTGTAGAAATAATTTTACTATATATATATATACATACTTCTTGCATATATGTCACTATCACAAAGACATACATTTTATAGGTTAGCGCTATGCAAAATAACGATACTAAACTGAATTGAACCACATTGTTTTAAGGGGAAAATGTCTGTCATTTTGAAATATTCCAATCAGTTCATTGCTTCGCAACTAATCCGATTCGGGGCGGGTCTAGGATTAAGGCTTTAAACCCCTCCCAAAGGTGGTACTGGGGAGATTCGAATAGTGCATCATTTCTCTCACTTAAAATGATACAACTTGTGTTATTTCACTCTCATAAGGAAGTGAGACCCACATCTTTATTTTTTTGTCCACTCTTTTTCCCCATGATCTATCTCTTTCTCTCACTTAAAATGACACAACTTTACATCCTTTAAAATGACACACATTTTCCTCTTTTTTTAATCAGTTTTGAGAAACAAACTGATTTTATAAACTTGTTCCATAATTGAACTGAATCAAAAGAACACATTTGGAAAATTTGTTTATAACTGATTTGTATATCTAAACAGATTTTGAATCGGTTCGATATCGATCATAAATCATAAATTGGTTTTGAAATATGAATTGGTTTCTAACGGGTTTCAAATCGGTTCGAATTAAATAAAATAGTTTGATTGATATAAAAAAAACATTTTGATTCTTTGAACGATACAATTCAACAAAAAAATTGATTAGCGTCGAACCGTAGGCTCTATAAGTGGGAAATATCTTCAGTACTACTGTAGTATTGAAGACTCAGTGCATCATTTACTTAATTTGGAAATAATAATATATTTGTTTTGCCATTTTACCCTTCTTTGTATGGTTATTTTCCCCTAAACCATCACTCTTTTCTACTTTTAGTAAAAGAGTACATACTACAGTAGTACCAAAGATATGCTCCTATAAGTGAACCAATTTAAACCTAAGGATTAAGAGTCTTGACACTGTGGGTAACAATTTTCTACATAACTCCTCAATATAACACAAACACGACACGATAAAAATCGTATTTGGGTCAATCCTTTTTTAAATTTGTGTCGTATTTGTATTGGCAAAAACTGACACAAAAAAATTTGTGTGACGTTCATGTCAACCTGCGAACCCAAAATTGATCCGCTTTAATTTTTTTACAGGTTATTTGTGTCTTGTCGTGTCGTAAACAAGTTATTCATGTCTTATTTGTCGTGTCTACTTATTAACAAGCAACACACTTTGAGGTTGACATATTATTTGTATCATGACGTGTTGTGTTAACCTGCAAAATAAATAGGTTGTATTTGTATTGAAGATTTAACTTGATTTTAAATTTATATCATGTTCATATTGAGTGTATTTGTGTTTGTGTCAACCCGAATCATGACCTCTTCTCAATATTCGATACTATTATTAACATGCCTTCTTAAAATATGTTGATTCAACACTGAAGTTGTATCTTACATTGTAGAATAATTATATCAAATGATTTGTAACTCGTTGCTGAATCTTTATCTATTGAATAAGGGAATCTAGGAACCATAACCGTAGAAGTCTAGATCCATTGAAGATATACATTGATAGAGCAGGTTTAGAGTTCCCACTGAAGTTGTATCTTACGGTGTAGAATAATTATATCAAATGATTTGTAACTCGTTGCTGAATCTTTATCTATTGAATAAGGGAATCTAGGAACCATAACATTAGAAGTCTAGACCCATTGAAGATATACATTGATAGAGTAGGTTTAGAGTCCCCCACGGTAGGGGTGTTCGCGGTCTGGATTGGATCAATTTTGGAAGCAAAAATCATCCGACCCAATTCCTTCGGTTTGACCATATAATCATCCAATCGGTTTGAATTTTTTTTCAAATCTGATCCGATCCAATCCAATTTTTTTCGTTTTGATTTGGATCGGTTTTTGATTTTTTGAAAATCTTAAAATTTGTTTCATGATTATTGTGCAAATAAGAACATCTTTTGCATATATTGGGTTTTGTAATTGTTCTGGATGAACATAAGTATGGTTATGGTATTGTTAAAGTCTACCTGGCGTTAGGCAGTTATCCTTAATATTTATAGCTCTGTCTTAGGTAGTTACTCTAATCGTGGGTTGTTATCCTCACTATCATATAATCGTGGTAGGACCCACA